TTTTCAATAAAATGTCTAAAGTTTTTGCATTTCGGAATAGCTAAAAACACCCTATAAACATTGCCGCTATTTCTGTACGAAAACGTTGAATTTGCCCCGTTATTGCCAAAGAACCCGGAATCTTCTTACAATTAGTGGCGCTTAAGAAACCTCTTGCAAAACAAGGCAAAAAAGCAGTTGCTATAAAAATTTAGCATCGCAAAACGCACCTGGAAGTTCTCCTTCTCCTGCAATCGCTCCCGCATCGCCTTCAGCCTGGCCAGCAAATCCTGCTGCTTGGCGGCGTTGTTCTTCATCGTGAACGAGCGGTACTGGGGCGCCTAAAAATCAGAATAAGTGCTGGTCTTTGCGAAAAAAATTGGTCTGCAAGTTGCGACACCACCGGGTGAGTGCAAAACAAAAACATAAACGCCTATAATTGATGAAAGTAAAGCCCCTTAATTTCTGCCAATGTTTATGGTGATTTTAGTCGCAAGCGCCGCGGAGACGCGGTCAATTCGAACCCTAATCCGTTAGATTCCTCAAAACGCGTTCGCGTCGCCCAAAAAATGTGACCGCAACTTTGAAGCGGCTTACAGCCACAACCTGACCATGCGCCCAAAATCTCGATTAGCTAATCGCCGGAAAGACGGCGTTAGATATGGGTTAAAATGTTGGTTAGGCCAGGACGAAACGCCCAGCTTTGCCCTATTGCGGCCAAAAAATCAATCCACCACACAACAGAAATCATTCGTGTTATAGCCCGAGACTGAAACGAAAAACTAACAAAATCCGGTTCTTTCGCATTATCGGGTGGACCAGTTGTGTTTTCTTGGGATCTAACTTTTGCAATAGTGGCAGTGTTTTTCACCGGTTTTTACCAACCGGTTTTCACCGGTACCTAAACGTAAAACTTTTACGATCCTACTATATATAAAAAAATAGTGTCTGTGTGTGTGTGTGTATGACACTTTGCATGCAACTTCCGTCAGCGTGTCCGGAGGATATCTCGATAGGGGATGAATTGTTAGGTATGTATGATACGTCATTAGGTGCGTAATGGCTCTGGGATGACTGCAAGCTTATCAGATTTTGCAAATTATGCTATTTTCGACATTAAATTTAGGTTTTTGTGAAATTTTCGGGCATCCTCTTTGTTAGGAAACAATTTGCATACGCCGGAAGTGGTGGTGGTCTATATTAAGGGGCAGAGGGAGCGTTTTTCATTATTTTTTCATCGCAGCCCGGGCGAATTATGCAAAGTGAAGAATATCATGGGCCCAAACGGGGCCAGGGTTGAAAAGTCGCGTAGCGGCTTTTCAACCCTGGTTTCGATTAAAATAAATGAAATATCGATCCTTCGACCAAAAATGGCCGGTTTGACCAAAATTTCGACTTTTTCAAAGCTTACGAAAAATTTTAGCGGGTTTTCCCAGTTGAAGTATAGCTACATTCTAGGAAAACACCTATTGAAGCACGTCCTAATCAATTACTAGACATTTATAACATCTACAAAAAAGTTCGATCCTCCACCGATAACGCGAAAGAACCTATAATCCATACACCACAATACTATGCACGCAGCGTTACCTCATTATTGTTCGTTTGGTAATCGAGGGAAAAGGAAAATTGCTGCAAGGGATTCGGAGGGTTAAAAGAGAATAGCAAACGACTTACCCGGCTCTTGAACTGGTCGAGGTGGGGAGAGACGGGGCGATTCTTGGCCGGATCCTCGGTCGACGACAGATTCTGCATCGACTGCCGGAGGCGCTCCATTGACGGGAAACGCTGGGCGGCCAGGCGGCGAGCTTCCGGCGACATGGAATCCTGAAAAAATGTTTCAACATTTTTGGGAACATTTTTAAAACTAAAAACCGGCATTGTAAAACCGCTTGGCGGCTTTCAGCCCTCGCCCTGACTAGTACCCATGACCTACACTTTTGATTTCCAACTCCCTTAACTTTTATATATTAAGTTATTTTCCGCTGTAAGCAAACCTCTTAATACATATTTTTTGGTGCTCTATCGAATAGCGTAGTCAAAAAACCAGACAAAAAGCGAAAATCTCGACAAAGTTTGGGAACTTCCAGCTCGGGGAGGGGGTACAGTTAAGCCTTGTCGTTATTTTTTTTCTACATTTTAACGCCAAAATTTGAGCGCACCTGTCCCTCGGTGACCTTCGTCACGCCGAGCTCTTCGAGGCGACGGTGGAAGAGCGGCGTGTTCGCCGTCTGCCCGTAGCGGAATCTGCCGAGATGGGCGACGGGTGACTGTGAGATGGAGCATAACTAAAGAGGTATATTAAACGCAAACGGGACTTGGTTGCACCTTATCGTGCTGCATCGGCTGCACGCATCGGTTCTCGGCATCGCTGTCCTGGATGTTGATCGACGGGATGGAGGGAGAGCGCCTGAAAATGTGGTGAAGCATAAAAAACTGTGGAATTTTTTGCGAAAATTCCGTAAACCTTGTTAGTAACGTTATTTTCAAGCAAAACGTACTGCGATTGGGCTCGGGACGGGCTGGCGCTGCCCGACGACGAGGCGTCGTTGCTGTCGACAGAGCTGAAAAGTAGAGCTCTATAATGGGAGGATTACAAAGGTAAAAATCGTAAGATCGTGCGTAAAAAAAGTAGCTACAGTTTTGGCAGCCCGGATAAAAATGAATGTGAAAATTAATCGAAAATTGAACTTATTGAACAATTGGGGAAACTTCGCCATCAGCCCCCGAATTTCGATGCTAGTATCCCTTTGAAAGCGCTCACCCGCGCAGCGCGTCCGTCGGCGAAGAGTCGACGCTGACACGCATCCTGTTGCTTCGGCGGACCGGCGTGTAGTTGAAGAGCAGAGAGTTCTGAAAAATAAAACGTATATAGGGCTAAAAAGGTAAATAATGCTTATCAGCGCGAGAAAACGGTTACGAAAAGCTGAACGAGGAAGCTGAACATTTCGCAATTCCGCGAAACTTTTGCCTTTTCCGCATTGAAAACCCTCATAACTTTTTTCTAGTCTCGTCGTTTCGCCGATTTTGAAAACATATTCGGAATCAGCGCAAAATTCTGCACAAGAAAGGCTTGGTGATCACAAAAGTCTCCTTGTAAAAACAAGTTATTGGCTGAACAAGCGCCCCCCTGGTTATCCAAAAACAGTGTCACGGATCAGGGGGCCTCAAAGTTGAGTGCGGTTCGGACGGAGCATCGCCTCGCCATACTGAGAGCGACGCCCATAAATTTGCACATCAAAGGATGTGGAGTGGAGGGGAGCGGCCGTGGCTTGGGAAGATTACCGTCCAGATTGGATCGGGCGGACACAAGAACCAGCGCGCCGGCGAGAACAAGTGGCGCTTGCGTATTCAAGGGCACCGGGTAGGGGTAGCGATGCCAATAGCTAAAGTTTTCGGCAGAATACGCCCCGACTACGGGGAATACGGCGAGATGGCGAAAAGAACGAAAAAAAAGAAAAGTCCCATTTTGTAACAAAAGAAACCGGATCGAGATAAAATCAGAATCGAAAAATACACGGGTAATAAAACTACAAAAATTCTCTACAATCAAAAGCAGATTTAAATCAACCGACTTTACTAGGTTACCGACCCTAGGTTACTAAAGTTGGTTACGCAAATTCCAGCGCCTCACGCGCGCATAGCATCTATTTACGCTCACTAAGAGACCTTGGCATCCCACGGGTAACTACAACTTTAAAAAGTTGCCGTAAACCTTCTATTAAGCCCAGTTAGCTTGACGCCGCCACGTGAAAACGTAAATTTGGCCGATTTCATAAAATTTCCGCGCATATGGCACCGGCGGGCGGCGGGAAGGTTGATGCACCATATGGGCGAAAAAGGGTCGGCGAATCGATTCCGTGGGCCCACGGCACCAAGAAACGACGATACGGATTGTGTGGGAAAAGGACACCACAGAAAAATCAGCCTGAAAAACGGCAACTTCAAGCCCTAGAAAAATGCCTCCAAAAGCCAGGACCAAACGAAGGGCAAAATAAATATGTGTGGGCTTAACAAAGGACATTGTTGTTGTTCGACTGGAAATCGCAAAATCGGCATTCTACGCGGTTTTAAAGGAGCGGGTAGGGGATGGCTATATTGTTAGCTATTCAGAGTGCTTTGGATTTTACGGGATTTTTATCACGCAATGGGCTAGGGCTATGGGACGGCGAAGCGAAGCGTGTCGCGGACGCGGGGTCCCTACGGTGTCTATAGCACAGTGCACTGCTCCGCCCTTTAAAGTGTCGCAGCGCCGAATTCAAAAGCGAGAGACAGACAGACAGAGAGAGAGAGAGAGAGAGAGAGAGAGAGAGAGAGAAAGAGAGAGAGAGAGAGAGAGAGAGAGAGAGAGAGAGAGAGAGAGAGAGAGAGGAGAGAGAAAGAGCGAGAGCCGTCACTAGGCGCACCAGGCATCATTCAATAGCCAAAGCCTGAACGCGCTTTAAAGGCGCTAGGAAGACAAAAATGCTTGAGGCAAAATTTTTGGGCCGGCGCGAATTATATGCCGTAAGGCCTCAAATCCACGGGTCAAGTTCAAGGCTAGACTTCCCACTCCCTTTAATAAACCAAAAATATCGAGAGCATCCCCTCGTTCCGGACAACGCCCCGGCCAAAATCCGGCGTGATCAGAATGACGAAAAAGATTCGGGAGTAGGTGATCGGCTAAGCCCGGCCCGGGTGCAGATAACAGCCGGGGAGGAGCCGCGGGGCGGGTGATCAGATCAGAGCCCCAAGAATGTGCACCCAGAGGGCCCTCATCACAAACAGTGGCACCCCGTAATCATGAACGCGGCGTAATCAAGAAGCCTTCATTCGGTGAGGGTGAGCCACCGAAATCTGCGTCACGCAACAGCGAGTTGCGACGCAGCCCGCAAAAAAGGCTGTGAAGGGCCATTTCGCCGTCACCGCCCAAAATCCCGGGCCGGGCGAGCAAAGCCGTGCTGATAAGGGGTTCAGCTGGGGCGGGGCCAGCAGGAGGAGGAGCAGGAAAAGCAGGAAATCACAAGTTTTAGCTTAATGCTTGTGCAGTTGGCGGCCACCGTTTATGGCCGGAAGGGGGTGATAGCCAAAAAATTTCGTCAACTTGCAGAGGGGCAAACAAAGTCATTACCGTGATTCTTGGATCATTTGGAGTTTGATAAATCGATATTCTCTCAAAAAATCTCCTGGGGCTTAAATTTTTTTTCACCTACTTGACAAGCGTTTCTTTAAGATTGAGAAAAATAGAATTTAGGAAAAAACGTAATTCTGATGGAGATGTCACGTCAAATTCTTCTCATTCCTAAGATCCTGGAGCCCATTTTATTGCGAAAAAAAGCTGCGAGGCTTCGCGTAAAGAAAGAGCGGCAGGCGTGCGTAATTTGATTATGTGAGTGGGTAGCGAGGGCGTTGACAAAAAGTGGCTGCACGTCGCGCACAAAACAAAGAGCGAAAAATTAGCCGTCAGTAAATTGGAGCTCAACCTGGAATTACACTGCAATTCTCGAATCTAATTTAACTTGCCATAACTTTAAAGGATAAAAAATCTAGCAAAACAAAGACAAAACTATCCGCCAAGGGAGTCCAAAAAGAACCGCCCAACAGAAAACGTAAAAGAGGGGCGGGAGCCGGAAACGAGCTAATTTCCAAATCTAAATACATTCCGAAAATAGGGCGACTTGCCCAGCAGGGTCCGACCAACAAAAGGGAAATCTGAGGCCCTCACCCGCGCGCCGGACATGGATGCCGCAATGTCCAAAAATTTGGGCCACATATCTGGGGCCGGGGGAAGATACATCCGTTGTGGAGCACTTAAAAATACGCCGGCCATCAACGGCGTGTAAACAATGTGGCGGGCCGCGCGCGTGGGCCTGCTAGCAAGCTTGTAGGTGATGCTTGGCCAAAAAAGTCAGTAAGTGTAGAACATCTAAAACTCACACAAAAAACGAATTTAACAGTCTCCTCCCTCCTCTAGTAAAAAAAGGCTGCCCGTGCCTGGATTACCTAAAAATTTCGCCGAAACATACTAATACCTAGAAAACTGCAAAATACACAAAAAAATGGAATTTTAGCGGCTGAAATATCTGCATGGGTTACCTAATAAATCCGCAGAAATCAACTAAAACTTAGAACACTTAAAATACACGAAAAATCCGTTTTTCCAGGATAAGCTATCGAAGGGATTCCCAGAAAACTCACGTCAACGCCGAAAAAATTCAAAACTACGGCCGGGGAGCGATTAGAACTTCATGGCGAGGGTGAGAAAGTCGGGGCGCCGGTAAAGGGGCATCAATGACCAACAGCCGAGGTGGAGGACCGTTAAAAACAAATAAATGTACAGCGGGAAAATGGTAACAAGCAGGTTGAGTCATTTCTGACGGCCGGTTAACACATACTTCGCAACGAGCGGAATAACGGCCCCTCTGGTGTCGATCCAGCCCCAGATTTGATAAGGAGTTTGTTGAAATTGCTGGAGGGGGAGGAGCTGTCAATTTTCGCATAAAATATCCGTGTTGCGTGGGGTCAGGTGATTTGGAGTCGTAGTATGGGAGAATTAGTTCCTTATAAATTTCTTATTTTAAAATCTAAAAGATCGAAAAACGACGGATTCCCCCGTTTTGCCTAAATCAGGCGAATTGGAGCCGGGTTTTTGAGGTAATTTGAAAGCTTACAATATAAATATTGAACGTTAACGCGTAAATTAACAAATTTAAACCGGAAACATTAGGGGCCACAAAAAAATCCGAGATCAGCTGATTTGCAGCCGGCAGTTTTGAGCTGCTTGTTTGTAAAATTTTCTAGCTTACAAATACAGTTTTCATTAGGTTAAGTTTTCTGGAACCGCGTGAACCTATTAGCGCTTTTTTGAAATGGGATCAGCCCCGAATTCTTTTCACTATCAAACTAGCTAGAGACCGGTCCGGAAACGCCAAAAGCACCTAAAAACGGCTCCTCGTCAGAAAAAAAGCAAGAAATACAGAAAGCCCCAAAAAGTTCCGTTTTTAGCCATAGTTCGCACAGGAAAACAGGCATGATTTAATTTACAAATTTTAGCAAATTCTCGGCCAAAAATAGCTATAAAAAGTTTTCCGAGACATTTTTGGCGCCTAAACCCGCTGGACGATCCCTTGAATCATGCGTATCCGCAAGAAAAGCAAAGAAAGGAAATGGAATGCCCAAAGTGCAGAGGCTCAACTTTACGAGGGATAGTGGAACGTAAAAAAAGGAGGTGTGCATCATCCACGACCAGGGGTGGACACATCGCCGGTGTGGACAAAGAAACCAGGGATGGATGGGAGAAAGGCTAGGGGTGTTAGTAAGAGGTGGACAAGGGTCCCGGCTCCCTGGGAACAGCCGTGTTTTCGCATCGTAGGTATATTTGCGTAAAAATTGGGCGGTTCCTACTACTACGGCGGCTGTTAGGTCATTTACTAGTTTGAGGCTTCTACTAACTAAAAATCGACTAGTTGAGCTCTTAGATGGTCAAAAACATGGTAGTAAAACCCATTAATGACGTACGAGCGGTGCACAGCTTCAATTCGTTAAAAAAGTCAGGCTCTTGACAATGCGAAAAATCGTGTGCTCAGGGTCGTTATTACCAAAAGTCGGCATGTAGGAGCGCGATGAATCATCATTTTGGCAAGAAAAGATACGAAAGTAGCGAATGACGCAAACGCCAGTCTCGCAAAACGGTTTCTGCAGCACAGAAAAACAACATTCAAAAATGAAGCTAAAGAAATTACGCCAGCCACGCTTTTTTCATGTAATTCCCGGGCGGAGAATCCGCTGCCCATGGGCTCCAGCATCAAGATATCGTCTACAGAAATCAG